AGAGAGGAGAGAGGAGAGGAGGGAGGAGAGGAGGGAGGGAGGGAGGGAGGAGGGAGGGAGGGAGGGAGGGAGGGAGGGAGGAGGGAGGGAGGAGAGAGGAGAGAGAGAAGAGAGAGGGGGGGAGGGAGGGGAGGGAGGGAGGGGAGAGAGAGAGAGAGAGAGAGGAGGAGAGAGAGAGAGAGAGAGAGAGGTGAGAGAGAGAGAGAAGAGAGAGAGTTCTTTCTCTTAGACCCTGAGAGAGAGAAAGAGAGAGAAGGAAGAGGGAGGGAGGGAGGGAGGGAGGAGAGGGAGAGAGAGAGAGAGAGAAGAGAGAGAGAGACAAAGGGAGTTGAGTGAGAGAGAGAGATAGAGTGAGAAGAGAGAGAAAGGAAAGAGAGAGAGTTGAAGAGAGAGAGAGAGGGGAAAGGGAGTGAGTGAAAGAGAGGAAGAGAGAGACAGAGAGACAAGACTACGCACAGAGAGAGAGACAGAGACAGAGAGACACAGGACAGAGAGAGACACAGAGAGAGAGAGACAGAGCAGAGAGAGACAAAGAGAGAGACAGAGAGAGAGAAAGAGCATACACAGACAGACCAGAAAAGAGACAGAGAGAGAAAGAGAAGACAGAAACAGAAAGAGACAGAGAGAGAAGAGATACAGACAGAAAAAGAGACAGAAAGAGACGAGAGAGAAGAGATACAGACAGAAAGAAAGACAGAGAGAGAACAAGAGAGAGAAAGGATAACAGAAACAGAAAAGAGAACCGGAGAGAGAGAGAGAGAGAAGAGAGGATAAAGAGCCGGTATCTCTCTCCCGCGGGCGAAAAGAAGGTTTCAGGAGGTAAAGACCCCGGATGAGCCACGATTTTTTCGCCGAGGGAATTTATGATTGAATGCGTTGAGCTTAGTTTTCATTTTGCTTGATCTCTCGCTCCCGCTATCAATCTCTTTCGCTTTCTCTTCTCCCTCTCTCTTTTTCTCTCAGATTGTTTTTTTGCTGTATTGTCTGTCTCTGTCCTGTTCTGTCTAGTCTCTGTCCATGTCTGTCTGTCTCTGCTGTCTGTCTGTCCGGTCCTCTCCTCGTCTCTCTCTCTCCTCGTCTCTCTCTCCTCTCTCTCTCTCTACTCCCTCTCTCTCCATGCTCTCTCGTCCTCTCTTCTCTCTTCCTCTCATTCTCTCTGTCCGTTTACACTCATCTCTCTACTCTCCGCGTGCGCTAGTCGCTCTGCCCTCGTTGCCCCTCCTCTCTCCTCTCTCTCGTCATCTCGTCTCTCTCCTCCTCTCTTCTCCTCTCTCCTCTCACTTCTCTCTCTCTCGACTCTCTCTCTCTCCCCTCCTCCCTCCTGTTCTGCCCATCCCTCTCCTCCTCTCTCTCTCTCATCTCCTCTCATATATCCCTGCTCTCTCTCTCTCTCTCCTTTCTCTCCTGTTATCCCTCGGGTCCGCCCTGCCCCTTCTCTCTTTTGCCGTCGTTCCACCTCGGCCTGTCCATTCTGGTCTCTCGTGCCTCCTCGTCTAATCTCTCTCCCTCGCTCTCTTCCTTCCCTTCCCCCCTCCTCTCCTCTGCTCCCTCTTTCCTCTCGTCCCTCCGCCTTTGCCTAATAGCTCTCTCTCTCTCCTCATCTATTCTCATCCCGTCCTCTCTTCCTCTCTCTCTCTCCTTCTCTCTCTTCTCTCTCTCTCTCTTCATCACGGTCTCTCCTTCTCTCTTCACTCACTCCACTCACTTCGCTCTCACTCTCTCTCTCTCTCTCCTCTCTAATCTATCTATCTACTATCTACTATCTATCTCTCTCTCTCGCTTGCTCGCTAACCCTCACCCCCCTCTCTCTTTTCTCGCCGCCCCCCCCCCCTCTCTACGCTCTCTCCGTCTCTCTCGTAGTGGCTGGGATTAATTTATTAATTTTTCAAAAACCATCTATATATATATATATATATATATATATAATATATATATATATATATATATATATATATATATATATATATATGTATATATATATATTATATATATATATATATATATATATATAATATATATATATATATATATATATATATATATATATAATATATATATATATATATATATATATATATATATATATATATATTTAATTATTTGCTTAGTGTATATACACCCTCCACAACACACACACACACACCACACACACACACAACACACACACACACACACACACACACACACACACACACACACACACACACACATACAAACACACACACACACACACACAACCAAAACAAACACACACACACACACAACACACACACACACACACACACACATATATTAATATATATATATATATATATATATATATATATATATAATATATATATAATTATATATATATATATATTATATATATATATATATATATTATATTATATATATATGCATGTATTTGTATATATGGTACTATTGGTTCCACTTCTTGCCAGAAGATTAATGTCTGATATTCATTGTTTAAGTGCTCCAAGCATGATGCACAGAGCAAAGACTGGATAGCGACGACTTTATACATTTGATCTTCATCCTAATGTTGGAGTCAAAGAAAACCACTGTTGTTGTTTGTTGTATTGTATGATATTATTCACTCGTAATAATTGAGGTGCCTTAGGTCTTGGTAGAGCGCTGGCTTTGCAATCGCATGGTCCTGGGTTCGCGCCCGGCTGCCTTTCTCAGTCGACTCAGCTGTGAGTGAGCACTGACTGGTATGCTGACGTCAGCATGCTAGGGTCAAAGTCGGGGCGGAAAGGAACTGGCCACCCGACCGCATCATCCCGCGGCTTAGTAAGCATGTTTCTCCACAAAACATTTCAATTACGTCCACATGGATATGGGACCAACTTTTGAATAATTGAAAGCATCTGTTAATCTCTCGATAACTGTTCTGTGACGCCATTGGAACTCAACCACAATTTTACAGTCGAGAACAATTTGGTCTTTGCTTTATGCCTGGACAAGTTTAGGATTTTCCATCAGTTCCTTAATTTAGCGTTTGAGATGATAAATCACCATGTTTATGTTGATGGAGAATAGTGTTGGAACTTTGAGATATGCTTGTTTCACTCCGAATTCCTATTTTTGACCAAAGATGTAGCCAACATTTGGACATGCATGAATATAACCTTTCATACAAACACAACAGAATGTCCCAGTGTAGGTCTCTAGATACTTTTGGGACTATATACAAAATATATACATGAAAACCGTATACAAAAGGGGCTTACTTTACTCCAAGAACTTCTTATACAACTGCGTGTGTGCTAAGTGGAAAATCTGACCGAAATCTGGAAAGATTTTCTCTAATGGGTCTCTCATCAAGTATACCTGACAGGATCTTGCTAGGTAAGTGAAGTGAAATACCTTTGTAGTTACCGCATTTCCCTCGATCTCCTTTCAGTACGTTGATTTCGTAGATGTAGGCATTTTTAAATCATGTGATATATCTTCATTTATCCAATCTTTAGGGCTAATATTGCAATAGATTACATCCATACCAGACATTCCATTTGGGTCTTGTTGTTTTTTATCCTATTAACTGCTTATTTTAGTTCTTCAAGTTCAAT